TTCCTAAACTCATCGAACCTTTTAGGAGCTCTTTCTTTTCTTTCTTTCTTCGAATCTTCCAGAACTTACCGTATTCCGGACGAATGAATCCTATTTCTCTGAGAAACTGCTTCGCCTTTGTATCTATTTCAGACATACGTTTTTCTGAGTAGACAAAGTACGCGAGTGACTTCCTTATCATCTGTAAAAGCGTTTGTTTATTATTAAAATCACATTTAATCTACTCACACGTAGTGTGACCTCTGCTCTTCAAAAAGAATTAATCAACGCCTCAAATGAAGTTTGTACCTCTTCCTCCGTGGGATATGCAGAACGCCATTGCTTTCCAACCGAATCACACCACATTGTGCCGCACTGACAATCGAATCCGGCTCGAGACAGATATTGGTTCCCGTAGTCAAAAAACAGCTAAAATTCAATTTGTGACAAATATCTTGGAGGCAGAAGCAGAAAGAAAAACCCACTTCTGAGCCGCCAATAATGGGCTGCGAAGCAAAGAGAACCGCCCGGGAATGACTCAGTCGTAAATCATTTTCGGCATATCTAAAGGCTGAGGAAGATTCTCTATGGTATCAAAAATAAAGGCAGTGCTTCGTTACCTTAGCATGATGAGGTTGGGAAAGCATCCATGCGATATAAAGCGAGCGATGTTCCCTCTCTTCTTTGGGTCGATATAGACGACATCATTCCGCGCGCTAAACGCTTCACACTGTAAAACCAAATTCAACACAAAAATGTTCTCCTAAATCAGTTTTCGATCTTTGTGCTTCTACAATTGAACTAAAAACCAGCTTAAACAATAAGAAATTTGGAAAAAAGTTCACACTCTCATTGGGAATTGGCTGTTGTAAGCATCTTTCTCCAATATAAATCCCATGACAGCAGCACTATTATATGGGTATACGAAACGCATTGAATTCCTTTCTTTTATTCCTGACTTTCTTCTTATTTTACATCACGCGCATTATTCATCATGCTTTCCAATCCAAGACTTTCTGCAATCATCGTCGCCATGCAGAAATGCGCGCAGAGTAGAAGAGGGAAAGGGAAAGTGGGGCACAAATCTTTCACGAATGGATCCATCGTCGGTCACACCCATTGCTCAAACTATATTTGAATTCTACT